GTATATCTGAAATACTTATTATTGTATTGATAGAACAAATATGAAGGATGAAATACCTACGGGTAAAAATCCAAAATGAGAAATGCTATGTACACATATATATCTACTGAAATATATTTATTTATTATTATTATTATTATTAACGGAGCGTCCGATTTAAATAATTCAAAAAACATTTTACTAATATTGACGAAATAAACAACTGGTGAAATTTTTGCAAAGGCAGGTGCAATCTAGAAATCCTAAAAACTGGAAATCCTAAAATCTAAAAATCCTAAAATCTAAAAATCCTCAAATCTAGAAATCCTAAAATCTAGAAATCCTAAGATCTAAAAAACCTAATAACCCTTTTGGCAAGAAGATAACATAAAGCCCTCTTCCCAGACAACACAAGACATCCTGGAAAACGTCCACAGGATATCCACGCGCGGACATTCATTGTCCCTGCGATAGCCTTACGGATATCCCGCTTATCCTGATCTTATCCGAAACATGTTAATATGTCGCACCTATGGGACGTTCTGTAGGATATCCCGCGCGGGATATTCCGGACATAAACCGGACATGAATAGGATATAATTATGGAATTGTTTTTTACTTTTTAGATGAAAAATAAATTTGGATTAAAAATAAAATAAAAGAACACAATTTCACAAAGTAAACTTTTATTACAAAATAACAAAATCCTGAGATAATTTTATAACAAAATTTAATATATACAACTTTAATTCAAAATAACTTATTTTACAATATTAAAAATATAATTAATTCGGCATTCAATCCTAGTTCATGGTTGATTTTCTCTCCTGAAATAGAAAACAAATGAATAAATGCATATATATGTATATGTATAAATATATATATATATATATATATATATATATATATATATATCTATGAGTAAGTTCTTTAAGAGCGATACATCAATCAAAATAGACAGAGATTTATAAATAATCTCTAATTCCAAATATATCGACACAATTTGATGTCATTACGAGTGAATATTAAACTTGTTTTTTTACATCTAAAAATGTGTACACAGCACAAATTTTGCACTAACATTGATACAACTAACCAGTCAATAATCATGATTTTTTTGTAAATAGGAGAAACATATAGTACACATCTCACAGAAATACCTTGTATAATATTTATTGGCACGTCGCAGCCAGCTTTTTGCAGCCTCTAAAACAGCAAACTATGTCTCATGCGGCAAATTTTTCAAAGCAATTCCTGGAATTAATTATATATTAGTTTTATTCATAATTTACAACACATCATAAGTATAAGATATATAAATTACCTGTGATGACATCGCAAGGCACTAGATCACAAAATTTATTTTTGCCCTTTCCTCGTCCCTAGCAAAATTCTTTTGGCCAAACCATCATCAAAAATGGATTTTCATAGCTGGACTCTGATGGCTAAATACAGAATCTAAAGAGAAAGTTGTTTAGTATATGATAAAGTTAACAAATAAAAATAAATCTATATAAACTTTTGATTACCAATTGTGTTTTGATCCACAAGTTGAAGCTCCTCCAACAAACATAATAGAAAGCATTTCAAAAAATATTTAATTTAACTTTTGAGTATGGTTCGAGTCAAACCTCAAAACCAACTCTTTCAATGCTCTTTTTTGTCAATCCTCTTTCAAACACGGCTGCAGTATTTGTAACACACACGCACATATAATTATATAGAACACATAAAATTTCCACTATTATTACTCAATTTTAGAGTATTTTGATAAATAATATTAATTATTTATAACACACGCTCATATAAATATATAAAACAAATAAAATTTTCACTATTATTACTCAATTACTCAAAAACTATGACATATAGCGTCTATTGATAACGCTGAAACCTTAAAGGACGCTCCGTGCCTACAGCCTACAGCCGACGCGACGAAAGAGAAAGGAACAAACATATACGTTTAGAGGTCTCAAGCCGTGCGCGTATGAAAGCGACATGCTCGTGAATCGTGCGTTATACCTGCTCGAGTCCTTTGGGTTTGAGACGTCCCGTTGCATATTCATAGGATATTCATAGGATATCGCGATATTAGGAGATTGTGAGGACAAGTGGGACATTCCCTGGCATGTCTTGTGCTGTCTGGGTTAATGTTAACATTATTCAAGATCTGATATCAGAAATGATGACCAAAAAGATAACAAAGTTAACATAAAGCTCTCTTATGAGCCATCTAGTGTCATCTTTAAGAGATCATCGAAAAGATATCAGAAAGATAACATTTTTCAGAGATCATAATGTTAACATTTTTCAGAGATCGTAATATTAACATTTTTATGTTACAAATAAGAGGCTATTGTATAATTGATAATAAGGAAAAAATTGTTTAAATAATTTTTATTTGATAACACAATAAAAATAATATTACATTTCCATATAAGTAATCTTATCAATATTTTTACTATTTTTGATTATTATAATTAGTGTTATTTAAGGCGATCGCCAGCATGTTGGAACCATGACTTGAAAACTTTTTCAATTCTTTCCTTATCAGAGTCACTCCATTTTTGTAAAACTGCATCTGAAAAATAGAATTATGAATAAAGTTACAGTTTTAAGATTGAAGTAATTCGTATTCTATTCAATATAATGAGACAAACTGAGTTAGAAAATAACAAAAGTTTAGGCAAGCTTTACCTGTGATCAATTTTATAAATATTAAGCCGTCGATCTTGATCGTATTTTTGATACCTGTCCAACTCATGTTATAAGCCATAACATCAGAAACAGTCAACACCAACGCGTTCCTTACATACTTTTCAAAACTTGCACCGCCAAGCTGCCTAACATTTTCTCGCTTTGAAATAATAACAGAAAAAAACAAAGCAATGAAGATATAGTATTTTGAAAACAATAAGTCTAAAACATAATTAAATAATAAGCAGAAATAAATTGATGAGTAATGAATAGAAATTTGATCATGCAATTAGGTTTATAGGTTCAAAGTTAAATTTGCAATAAAAAAACTTACATATTGAGTAGCTGCGAACACATTTTGAATTTTTGTCTCAAATACTGCCAACTGACTCCGAGTTTGGATTGGCAATCCAAAATCTATTTTTTCCTTGACAGTATTGTTGGTGATGTCATTTTTTTCTGAGAGCATCAAATAAATTGACGAAACCAAAGTTTTCAAACTTTTCACTTCGCTTAATAATTTCCCTGTCCATACATGAATATTGCAAAATTTATAATCACGATAATACAAATATGAATAAGAACATTTTAATTACTAAATTAATACTTACGACAACAGTCATGACCATGCGTATCCACCTCACTTGAAACAGAGAAAGACGTCTGGTCATCAGCTGGAAGTTCTGAGGTCGAATAAAGATAGGAGACGGTTGTTCCATACTTGATTGACGAGAGGGATCTATTTAAATAAATAAAAATTGGATTAAGTCAATTAAATAAAATTAATAAAAAAATCTTTTAAATGCAACTATACCAATGCTATCAGAGTTGTTATTTAAACGAGGAGACTGAGGACTATCCTTTCGACAAAAATCAGAATCTTGTACTAACTGTGACTTCTGACCATTCGTTTGAGTCATGTAGGTAGTAGGAGGCATTTCAATATTATCAATTTCGCTTTCTGAAAATAAAGTGTTCAATTAATATGGAACGAAATGATTGTTTATAAATAAATAACTTTATATGTTCCATACCTTCACTCTCAGAAGAACTTAATACAGATGCTGGCCTTTTCTTACATTTAGTTTCTATATAATAAATAAAATTAATATTAAAATTATTACAGAAAAGACTTTAGGTAAAGATAAAATAAATACCTACCATTTTGTACAGGGATAGAGTCATCTTCTGTATCACAAAAGCGTAAAGGTTTACGGCACATCCTCTTTCCTTTGTCTGCTATATCTAATTTTTTATTAGCTTTAATAGCAGCAAAACTTTCATCATCATTTGTAGACAGATTTAGGGCATCTAATTCAAAATCCTGTGCTTCATCATATAGCTCTGTTACAAAAAGCATATGATAAATAAATTATTATCTCGCTATTGATATAATGTAATATATTATAGTAAATTAGATAATTAAATGCCTATAGTGAATTACTGCTAACATTAGCATATTCATAATTGTAAGCTCAAGTACAGAAATACATGAGGAGATTAGAAAAAATTATTATAAGATCAACGATTATATCCTGAGTGTTCTCATTAGCGCGCTGATCTGCCACCTTCACACGTGCAGCATCCAATTTTTCGGCATACCAATGGGAATTATACCCACACTTAGGTCCTAGGTTATCCACAATCAATAATAATGATTATGTATATGTATGCAGCAATTTGTACAATAGTAGAACTAGTATTCACGGTTTTTAGGCATATTTTTTACACTAGTTGGTTATAGCTTTCATTTTTTTCTGATTATGGATTCAATCTTGAACTACACATCTTGAAAGTAAATTATCATTGCTGAGATCGTCGTAAATCGGTTTAAAAGCTTTTAAAACTAGACTAGAATTTCTAAAATCTAGAAATTCTAAAACCTAACAAACCTAAAAGCCTAAAAGACCTAAAAACCTAAAATCTAAAAACCTATTATCTAAAAAACCTAAGATCTAAAAAATCTGAAAACTAACTGTAAATATAAATATAATTACAAAAATATAAAAATTACCTTTTTTTTAATTATTTCCATCCGAAGAATCATAACAATAACAACTTTGGTGTGATATCATTTGCAAATGCGCAAAATGTTTGTGGAAAATTTGTTGGAATCTAAAATAAAACTCGATTGACTAATCTGCCACTAAAATAAATATATATGTTTATTTTCAAAACTCACCTCATAGCATATGGCAATTATTAAACTGAATATTTCTTCTTGCAAATGTTTAGATGTTTTAATACAATTTACACCATATAACTTCCTAACGTTTGATAAAAATTTAAGAAGCTCAATGGCAAGTTTGGAGCACTTGAAACCATTGGGGACAACAAATTTTAAGATCTTTACTAATGTTGATAGATCCAGGTTTAAATTAGTGTTGAGAAGTTTCATACAGAATTCACACAACTCTGAAATAAATAACATACATATGTATAATAAATATATAAATATATATTCATAATAATATTTGTGTTTACCCATCCATTGTGAGGGCATACAATCATCGTACAAATTTTTTATAGATATTGTTTTAACAAGAGCAATAAGATAAATGTCGCCGCCTTGTTTCAACACAGGCCTAATTGATAAAAAATAAAAATCGATTTTTCAAAAATTCCAAGTACCACTGACCCAGTATTGGCTTGACTTTGTTTTCTGGGATACTATATACATATATATAAATATTTTTACAATGACTTACCTGAGCCATCATTCACCAACATCAAAACCAAAATATCCTCCATCAACTTCAAGCTTTCATCACTTTTAAACATGAAAGCTTAAAGTTGTTGGATGATATTTTGGTTTATTTAACAACGTCGATTTCAAAAATCTGTCCATTAAAATTGGTTCGTTTAAAGTTTAAGTTGAAGTAAAGTTTAAGAATTGTCGGTGAATTCGTACTCGAATGTTTTTAAAGTTTAAACATTCAAGTACGAATTCACCGACAATTCTACAACAAGAACTGACTATTGATTCTTGTTATCCTAGACAAATAACATTTCTGCAAGTCATTTCAAATAATTTAAACCATTTTTCTGTATATTCAACAGTGGTGAAGATCACTAATTCAACGAATGCTTCCACACAATTGCTTAATAAATCAAAGTGATCTGATACTGAACATGAATCCTGTAAATAAATAAGTTTATTAAATAGTAATTTATAAATTTTATTTATAGTTATATTATCTGGTTTACCTTAACGTTAATAAGAAGTTCTACAAATGAATTTCCATTAGCATGGCTCAATTGTTCAGGATATTTATTTTCAAATGCACAATATGGCGCAAACCTAGAACAAAATAATACTTAAACACTTTTATTAAATGGCATTAAAATATTCCACGTACCTGTTGCAGACAAAAGTTGATAGAATTAAATAACTTAGACCACACATCATCCGGATTATTTAATTCTAAGTTTTTTGTTAAAATATGAGACAGAGCTTCATAACCTTTTCGGCCATCTGCAACTTTATCCGATTCTATTTGTGTACTTATACTTAAAATTAATCTGTCACTCGACGACATGATTATTAATATAAAATCCAAAAAAAACTAAATGTAAAAAATTACAATAAGTTATAATTAATTAATGAAGGAATGTTTTTAGAAGTACTTACAAAAACTGTCGGTTAGGATAACGAATTAAACAAATCGCTCAGACTGAGCGGCTCAGTTGAAGTTTTCGTGTTGCCAGAGACAAAGAATAAAATTGACAGATAATTGAGATTGCCAGAAAAGAGGGGAGAATATATGGCGGTAATTTCAAATATTGTTAAGAAGATAACTACAAATACTAAGTGCACTTTTTGATATTTATTATTGTAATTTAGTTAATTAAAACTAGTGGGGCGCATGGCATCGTACCTTAAGGCAAATTGCTGAAACTTCCCATATCAAAAAAAATTTTTTTAAAAACGAATAACATTTTTGAAAAAAAAAAAAAATTACTTCGAAAAAAATAGTTTTTTGAAAAACTATAAATTGGACAAAAAATTACTTTTTTTTTATTTTGACATATTTTGGAAGATCTAAAATATAAAGCGCGTAAGCGTCGCGTCGCTGTCTAACGGATAAACATTGGTACAGAATCCATAGGAATGTAAACAAAATTTATACTTATTGTTAAAATCTCTATAAAATATCTGATAATTTGATGTGCTGATGTCTAATAATCATTTTTGACTGCTAAATGACATTTTTTTTACTTTTTTTGTTAGATCTCCGAAACCGCTAGACTTGCCCTCATGAAAATTTGATCAATTCTTCATCTTGTCAATACAAGTAAAATGTTTTTTGAATTATTAAAATTGGACGCTCCGTTCTCTTAAAAACTGAGTTACCGTTTTTGTCACTTTTTGCCCCATATCTTCGGTACGGCCAGACCTGCCTTCGCCAAAAACTAATCAGCACGTCTCCTTATCTATACGAATCGAATGTTTTTTAAATTATTCAAATCGCTTGATCAGTGTTTCCGAAATTGTCGACAAAAATTTGTATCCAAACACATTTTGCTATAATTTATTAAAAATATTATCTTCATTATATATTGTTAGAAAGTCAATAAACTTATCTATAAATCTGCATATAACATTTTATAACTTTTAGACCAAGTTTATATAAAAATAATTTATTAAACTTTGCAATTAATATCGTCGTCAGACGCGCACATCGTTTTAGCTTCAACGCTTTGGTTTATAATTAAATTTGTTTTGTTATGAAAATATTATCATTATTATATATTGTTAGAAAGCCAATAAAATTATCTATAATTCTGTATGTAACAACTTTTAACTGTTAGAGCAAAATTATATAAAAACAATTAATTTACAATTTATAACTTTACAATTAATATCTTCATCAGGCGCCCACATTGATGTAGCCTCAACCCTTTGGTTTATGATTACATTAATTTTGTTATAATATAATTAAAAATATTATTATTATTATATATTGTTAGAAAGTTAATTAAATCAGCTATAATTACGTATGTAACAGTTTAAATGTCTTGAAACAAAGTTGTTTAGAAAAACATGATTAAAGTTAATAAATAATAAATGAGTATTTTAGATTTTTATATTTATTTTTATAAAAGTATATAAATACAATTGGTAAATATTACTAGGATGCTCCAGCCAAATAAAACAGTTCATATTGCTGAAACTAACAAATGAACAATACATCAATTTTGTACTTTACATAAATCTCATTCAATTTTTATAATCAATAAAGATTAAAAATATTTCATTGCCTCACATTAATATAATGCAGTATCTTTAAGATCGTCTTTTATTTTCTCTCAAAACCTCCTCCTCGTCCGAAGTCGAGGAATCATCGACAATTTGCCTTCTGGGGGGTTGTGACCTGCTACTACGTCTGGTAGCAATGCTGTCCTCGAATGTAACTGACATGTTTTGAGATCCTTGTCTGTTCTTCTTTCGTGGCTTACCAACTGGTTTCTTTGTAAGTTTTCTCCTCGCCTCTTCCATATTCTCTTTGTCTTGATTTACATCTAGCAGAGCCTCGATTTTGTTATCCAATTCCGTGCATAAAGTCTAAAGGAAAAAAAAAATTGTATGTCAGGGTATCAATGTATTTATAAATTGATGTATATATATATATATTTTACCTTCATTTCGGGCTTAACCGACTGCTTGTTGCCAAGTGCGACTATATTTTTGAACACTGTATAAACTTCAGGAATATTTAGATGCGTCCGGAAGATTTCAAAGTTGTCGATGAGAACCTGAATCGATTTCAGGGTGTAGTTCAAAATGGATAAACAGAAAGCGAGATTGCATATTTGTGCTGTGTCTGTAGCAATTTGTAAACGAAGACATAGTTTTTGTACCAATCCGTCCATGTGTCTATCTTTACTGATATAACTGAGAATAGACCTAGAAAAAACAAATAAATAAACATATATATATATATATATATATATATATACATATATGTCTATTAAAATTTCTATTTACTTCATTATTTTCTGGAACTTGGCTTCCACCAAATTCATTGCAGGATCAGTCATTTTCGAAATGATATCAGGAAGAGCATTGTACAGATTTTGGTCCTTGGTGGACATTTCTTTAAAGAAATGTTCGGCCAAGGTTTTCAAAGCATCATCTTCGTCGACCAAAAACAAAGCAATGTCTGATATGTAACTTTTTGGTCTCATGATATTTGTTAAAATCAACTGGCAGATGAATTTTAGGCCAATCTTCTTCACCTCGGAATTATCATCCTTCAATCTGAAATTGAGATATAATTGGGTGTAAGTGACGCCCAATATGTAGCAGTCTTTTACCTTTACCTTTCAAAAACATAAAGCTCCCACGGCTCAACGACGGTCGGAAACCTGAACAGCAAATCAGCGAATCCAACAATGATATTCGTCTTGACAACAGGAAATTTGGAATGTCTCAAAACAGTCATCAGCAACTGGATGTTCTGCCGACATGCCTCTGAAGAGATGCACATAAAACTCATCAAAGCGCCAGAGGCATCGACTTCCAAATCGTCATCATCGAACTTGTTCCTATGCTCCAGAATATCTTTGACGAAAGGTAAAACGTAACTGAACGCTGCAGGCTCTTGCAGGAGTTCCTTTTCCATGATGTCGTTGACGAAGTTTGCTTCCAAATCGTCGGAATTGATGCACTCTTGGTATTCGTTGTCTTCGTTGTCGTCGTCCATGTGCGATTTCTGTAGAAAATGATTTTTTCGATGGGAAACATGATAGGATACAGCTATTATTATTACATTAATATTACAAAAATATCACTTACATAACTCTGATTATTTCTAATGCTCCTAGAAGCGGATTGCAACTTCGATGCCCTAGGATTCGAATTGACGCTCGGTGTCTCCGAGGAAGTACTTTGCCTGGTGTTCTGCTGTATTTCTTTCCTTCTACCCAACTCACTGTAGACGTTGAGATCGAGGAATGCAATGTGATTATTTGCAACTTGTCCGACTGTGTGCAAAATTCTGCTGACTCTCCAGGATTTCATTTTATCGTCCAGAGTCAAAGTTCCTTTATTTTCGGCATGCAGCATCGCGGAAACTAATTTCTCCATTAGCAAATGGGGCTGATCGGCACCCTGGGGTAAAGGAAATACGGGTAAGTGACATTTGTAATAATCTATCTAACACCTTAATCGCCAAATCAGTCCTATGTGTCTGACGCTAGAGAGTTCTATTCAATTCAATTCAAAGACTATATATTTCAGTATATAAAAGATAAAAGTATGTACATTGCATTTTATAACATGGGTTTTTTACCCGTAGGTATTGTATCCTTCATTGGATTTGGTTTTGCAAACAATAATTAATTCACAATATGTAAATAAATTCATATTTGTGTGACAAAAAAGAGGAAAGAAAATTTATCCCAAAAAAAAAAATCACATAGCACTATTTATAATAACACATAATAATACAAAAAGAAGAAAAACATCATAAAAATTTATTCACTCTAAGGGAGAAAATTTGTGTCGAGCCAATTTTCATTTACCGCTTTGGGTTGATCAGTATATATTTTGGCATGGCGTGATTGCCATACCAAATATCGTCTCTTGTGTATTGGCCGAGGCCCGCGATGTTAATATTAGGATGATCCCCACATTTTAGATAAAAATTTTCAGTGAGCTTTTTTATAAAGTCAGTCTGTTTGTGTATGTATTTTGAAGATTAGTAATGTCTAGTCAGTGGGTCCCTTATTTTGTTGAGTACGATTAGTGTGGTGTAGTGTCTTATTTGTAATGTCTGTAGTTTTCGTAAGTTAGTCTTAGTCGTCGCGATCCATGCCGGAGCGGCGTATGTCAGTATCGGTCTTATTAGTGTCAAGTAAAGTGTTCGCTTGTTCTTCACGCTTAGCGGGCTGTTGTGGTTCAAGAGAGGTCTCAGTAGATTTAACATCCCGTAAGCCTGTCCAATTTTTGTATTAACATGTTTTGTGAAGCTGAGTCTATAGTCCAGGGTCACACCAAGATATTTGACATCCTTGGACCACTCAACTTCACAGTCCAATACTTTAATTTTGTTAGAGAGTTCTATAGTTGTATATGATACATATATGTATGACATAAGCATTTAAGCAATTTAGTAGAAGGTGAAAATAAATTTTAATATAGGGCCATGCCAGTCTTATATGTGTGATATACAAATTTTCTCCAGGAATTTTGGCAAAAGAAATTTCTTTATTACATTAAGTTTTTTTGATACATTTTTAACTAAATTATCTAATAAAGTTGCCATGATTAACCGTGATTAACGTGTTCAGTAATATGAATAGAAATTTAGCAACTTTTAAAATTGTGGCGTTGAAATTTTGAAAATTTGACACGGCCCATTATGTCCAATTTTAAATAAACCACTTTTCACGGGCCTATAATATTTTACAGCAATTGTTGAAAACAAACTTAACTAGTTGAAGGTGCATTTAGCCTGAAGGCAAGTTGCATGAACTTCCCGGAATGTGTAAATAATATACTTAATCAATCCAATTTTATAATAAGCAACTTGATCTGCCTTTGACAATATTTTTTTATTTTATAATTATTAAGAAATTTATATTTATCAATATCATTGATTATAAAAAAAAAAAAATTATTCTTTTTTATTATTTTTAATATAATAATCTGAATACATAAGTGGTTCTCATTGTGACAAAATTGTATCGACGCATACGCCACGAACAATATCAAAAATCAAAAAATAGTAGTTAATTATTATAACTTGATTGAAGTAAAGAATTTCTTGGTCATTTCACGACCTTGGAGACAAAGTATATTTTCTAGGCAGAGGCTTCATTATTTTTCCAAATTGTAGAAAACGATAATAATTATTATAACTTGATTAAAGTAAAGAATTTCTTGGTCATTTCACGACCTATGGAGACTAAGTATATTTTCGATGCACTAATTAACATCTTTACCGAAAATTAATCAGTACGATTTCTAAGCATGATTTTTAGAATGGTTGTTAAATTTTCAAAATGGATTCAGTGTTGTGAGCTGAGCCGTGGACAAACATTTTTATCTTTTTCCTGAATTTTAAATTTTTCTAATCAGTTTAGTACTTTATGGGAAAACGTCGATGAAGGTCTAATTTTCACGGAAAACCGTTACTAGTATTTTTCAAACCTTGATAAATTTTTAAAATTAAACTACTTGTAGTAAGACCATGATATATATCGCCAAAAAAAAAATCCATAAAAATCGGCCTAAATTTTTGTTTCAACTGTTAATTACAAAAAAACGGCTCGGTACATTTTCACCTGAAACTAATCAGTACCATTCCCAACTAGTATCTTTCGAACAGTTTTTGATTTTTTAAAATCGGTTCGGTAGTATGAGCTTAAATGTGGACGGAAAGTTTAACACTTTTTTCAACAGTTAATTACAAGAAAACGGCTCGGTAGATTTTCACCTAAAATTAATCAGTACCATTCCCAACTAATATCTTTCGAACAGTTTTTGATTTTTTAAAATCGGTTCGGTAGGATGAGCTTAAATGTGGACGAAAAGGTTAACACTTTTTTCAACAGTTAATTATAAGAAAACGGCTCGGTAGATTTTCACCTAAAATTAATCAGTACCATTCCCAACTAATATCTTTCGAACAGTTTTTGATTTTTTAAATAAGATCTTAAATCGGTTCGGTAAGATGAGCTTAAATGTGGACAAAAAGATTAACACTTTTTTTCAAATTACAAAGAAACGTCTTGGCAGATCGTTGCACAAAACTGACAAACGATATTCCTCACCGAAATACATCAAATGGATTTTAAATTTCTAAAATCGGTTCAGGCGTTTTTGAGAAAACGTCGATCAAAAGTCTAATTTTGACAAATGCCAAGAAGACCATACTGATTTTTGCAAACTTTGACGAATTTTTAAAGCTGAACCAGTTGTCGTAGGGCCGTAATATTTTAGTATGATCTAGAAGACTATGGTATCTATCGTCAAAAAAATAATCATAAAAATCGTCGATTTTTTTTTTTTTAAACTTTATTACAAGAAAACGGCCCGGCCGATCTCTACCAAAAACTAATCAGCACGATTCCCAACCAATATCTTTCGAACGGTTTTGAATTTTCAAAATCGATTCAAAATTGCGGGCTAAAACGTAGACGAAAAATTTTCACTTTTCTGCCATTTATAAAGAAACGGCTTGGCCGATCGTCGCACAAAACTGACAAACAATAGTTCTCGTCGAGATACATCGAATGGTTTTAAATTTTGAAATCGACCCAGCCGTTTTCGAGAAAACGTCGATTTACGGCAAAAAATCTGTTCACATACACACACACATCCTTTTTCCAAATTTGGTCTCATTCGATTCAGAATGGCTTGAAACGTCGAGAAAACAAAATTAGCGAATCGGATTTTTTTGATGAAAACATAAACTTCTCCTTCGGGAAGTTAACAATCCATTACGAAAGAATACGACAAATCGACGATTAAATAAAATCTTCTGTAATTCAAAACCTTGTTAGACAACTTATCCATTTCAGTATGCGTTACTGTTTTAGACAATTAGAAGGTAATATATTCAAATTATATTGGTCTAGTATAAATGGTGTGTCTTGTAGAGCTCCTTAAATAAGTCTCATAAAGAACATATTGAAACAAAGTGCGAGTGTAAAAAAATCTCTTGAACTCGGAATTTTGTTAAAATACCTATTGATTATATTATTTGGTCTTGTAATAGACACTTTGGAGTATAACATATCTGAATTTCAAGGTTGTAGAGTCCAGTAGAGCTCATTGAAAATATTAATCTTCTGAGAAGCATTTCACCCACACTTTGCATCTATTTATAAAATCGCTTTTATAACAAAATATTGTTAAAAAAATTATCAATTTTAAAATTTTATCTTATAATAGACACTTTGAAGTATAACATATCAGTATTATTAGATTGTGGTACAAGCGGTACGTCCAGTAGAGCTCTTTGAAAACATTAATCTTCTGAGAAGTATTTCACCCATAGATCACCTTCGCATATAACATATTGATAAAATATTGTTTATTAAAAAAATATTGTTAGAAAGCCTATCAATTTTATAATTTGTTATCACAATGAATACTTTGAGCTATGACGTGTCCAAATTACAAAGTTTTATTACAAACGGTGCTCTTCAAAATACCATTCAATCTTTACTGAAGAAAATCATAATCGGTTCAAGATTTGTGGCGCAAACATTGACAAAAAATTTACTTTCCTTTTTTAATTGTAAAGAAAGGGTTTGAATGATAATCTCATAAAACGAAACAATGCTAGTCCTTAAAATCGGTTCAGCCATTTTAAAATAAACATTGATAAATTATCAAATTTTGGCTCACACACACCAAATTAGGCGTCGACAAAACATAAAATTAGCAAGTCGGATTTTCTGGCAAAAATAGTTTAAAAAAATCTCTTACCGCATATACGACAGCCACGGCCCCATTGGCAAGTTGTCTAAACGAGCCAGTAGTCGAATCATTGAAATGATGAATCACTAAATCATGAATCTTGACAAAGATTTCCTCAGAGTTGTATTTTCTCGTTACAGATTTATCAGCCGATCTCGATAGAGAAGCTGTGCTGGTCCACATATTTCTTAGCATCTGAAGAGTGTGTATCGCATACTGTATATCGGTTTTGCTGAAATCGTCCAGGAGCGTAGACGTAACCACAGACAAATTGGTCCAGACAACGTTCGGCTTATTACTAGAAAAGGATAGAACAAAATATACACAATTTATTATTATTAGAGTTACGAGTCACGCTATATAACCAAAATCAAATATGTACTTACACTGCTATAAGTGACAATACGACGAGACAGGCATAGATATCATTGTCGGAAGTGCCTTCAATTTTCTAGTGATCATTTCCCAACAAAGTTGGATAAGACTCGGACTTATCATATCATCCTTGATCCAATACTTGAATAAGAGACACATTGGATCTCTGTGGCTTTTCTTCATTTTACAGACGACGAAGCAGAGCTTTTTCAGTATATTGGCTGCATCCAGCCTAGATAGAGAATATTTATAAATAATAATAATAATAATATTAAGAATATATATATATATGGAGAATTTTGTATCATCTATGGAGAATTTTGTATCATCTATCCCCCCTACCTGGTGTTATTGCTCTTATCATCCATAAATATCTCGGTCATCATCTTATACACCTGTTCTTTATTCTCCTTCTTGTGTTACAAGCAAATATAAAACTTGCAATAAGCTATCGTAAGCAGAACTGATTCCCAGATCAATAGAAGATGCAAAAAATGTTATCGCCTCATTGGAGTCATGGGCGGCCTTCGAAAACAGCATCTTTTCGATGATAGGCAGAGCTTTGGAGATGATTTCAGAGAACTGAATTGTCATTTTAATATCTCGATCATCTAAATGAAAACAGATAAAAAATAATAATGGTACTGGTTTGTTGATATTATTAAAGATTTCTTACACTTGTTTGCTCGTCGATTTGTTTTTTCAAATCTTCAGAAATAGGGGCGACGTCATTGCCTTGGTTTTTCGGTTTACTCTGAAGCACCAGTTTTGTGATGACGCAAAAGAAGTATTGGGGTAGATCTTTTAATTCCATATCTTTCCTGAAAAAAAGAGCATCAAAATCATTATGAGGCAATTCTGCCGTAACAGAGTTCATAACATAGCGTTGTCATCGTTACGCTATCTTAGGCATTTTAATTGGTAGTGAAAATTGTGAAAATGTCTAACTATTTGCTATGTGATCAGGCATATTTTACATATAAACAGGCAAAGAAGAATGTTATGATAACAGAATTTTTGATGAAGTAGTTATCATAAGATTCTTCCTTGCTTGTTTATACGTAAAATACGCCTGATCGCATGGCAAATTGATATACATTTTAATTATATAACCCATAATAATTTGATAATGATGCACTTGTTTAAATAATGATGCACTTGTTTATTGTATCTGTTGAAAATCAATAATTTTTATCATTATCAAGTACTGTATCATTATGCCAAGTAAATAGTCTAATTTTAATTTTAATTAATGTCAAAAGAACTACTCATTTTCTCAAATTTTGATGAATTTTTAGAATCAAACTATTTGTCGTAAGGCCGTAATTTCAGTAAGTTCTATAAGACCATGGTATATATCGCTAAAAAGAAATCCATAAAAAAATTTCAACAGTTAATTACAAGAAAACGGCTCGGTAGATTTTCACCTAAAACTAATCAGTATCATTCCCAACTAATATCTTACGAACAGTTTTTGATTTTTTAAAATCGGTTCGGTAGGATGAGCTTAAATGTGGACGAAAAGTTTAACACTTTTTTTCAAATTGCAAAGAAACGGCTTGGCAGATCGTCGCCCAAAACTGACAAACGATAGTCCTCGCCGAAATACATCAAATGGCTTTTGAATTTCTAAAATCGGTTCAGGCGTTTTTGAGAAAACGTCGATCAAAAGTCTAATTTTGACAAATGCCGAAAAGACCATACTGATTTTTGCAAACTTTGACGAATTTTTAAAGCTGAACCAGTTATCGTAGGGCCGTAATATTTTACTATGATCTACAAGACTATGGTATCTATCGTCAAAAAAATAATCATAAAAATTGTCGATTTTTTTTTTTAATACTTTATTACAAGAAAACGGCTCAGCTGATCTCTACCAAAAACTAATCAGGTCGATTCCCAACCAATATCTTTCGAACGATTTTTGAATTTTCAAAATCGATTCAGAATGCGGGCTAAAACGTGGGCGAAAGATTTTTCACTTCTCTGCTATTTACGAAGAACGGCTTGGCCGATCGTCGCACAAAACTGACAAACAATAGCCCTCGAGATACATCAAATGGCTTTTAAATTTTCGAAATCAGTACAAAACGGTACAACCAAAACGGCGATTTACGGCAAAAAATCTGTTGGTGCACACGCACGCACACACACACACACACACACTAACACACACACACATACTTTTTCCAAATTTGGTCTCATTCGATTCAGAATGGCTTGAAACTTCGAGAAAACAAAATTAGAGAATCGAATTTTTTGATGAAAACATAAACTTCTCCTTTGGGAAGTTAATTAAATCATTCATAATATTGTCTAACACTTCAAAGCCCTGCTGCAACGCGGTATACTTTAAAATGGCTTTTGAAACGAGAGAAATGCACCAGACAAACAATCAACAATTAAACTGTATATAAAGTTATTGTACCTGTGTAACTTTTAAACCGTTTGTTTAATTAAAATATTCGACAAATTTGTGCAAAATTAAATTATTTATGATACTGTCTAATAGTTCATAGCCCTACAGCAACTCGGTATACTCTAAAATTGCATTTTAAACAAGACAAATGTACCAGAAAACTAAATGTATAAAGTTATTGTATCGGTCGTAACTTTTAAACCGTTTGTCTAATATAATTAAAATATTTGACAAATTTGTACAAAATTAAATTATTTTTAATAATGTCTAACATTTCAAAGCCCTATGGCAACTCGGTGTACTCTAAAATTGCATTTGAAATGAAACAATTATACCGATAAACGATCAAAGTGAATTCATGATGCAGATTTGTAACAATTTTAATATCATTTAATGTATTATCCCAAACTGATAATTCTCCACATACCTTGCATCCGTTTCATTTATTTGACGTTCCACATAAATAGTATATTTCAGTAGATCATCAAATTTTTGCTTGGTGAAAGCTTTTAAAATAAGCTCGTCGATTGAATCGAATTCCTCTTCTTCAAATGCCATCTCGTCGTATAATTTTATAGTTGCATCTAAAAACATACAAAACGTAAATATTAAAAAAGTGAGATAAACTTTTTCGACACGTGAAAAAGCAAAACGTCGACCCGGTTGCTTCAGCGCCCGGGTCGACACGCCTACGATGTTATGCCTACGAAATGCAGACACGAAAAAAATTATATCAAACTTTGCTTTACCATACCTGTTGCAAATGCATTTTCTAAAAATGGCATCAGGGCGGTTTTGCATTCATCTTAATCTTTTCCAAGTCCGCCTGATGCGGTTGCTCACGCAAACTTGCCAGCTTTTCTATGGCATTCTGTAAACTCTGATGCAAAACATCGTTGTCCATCTATATGAATTATAATTGATAAATCAAAAACAAACATTCCACATATTTTATATAAATAAGTATGTATAATTTTTCTACTCACCGGTACATCCGACGGTCGATTTTTGATGAATTCTTTCAGAACAACAATTGCATTCTTTCGAACCAATATGCCTTTGTCACACAAACGTCCAACCGAACGATCCATGATCTTCAGGAGCCACGATAAAGGAAGGGCTGAGTCTTTTAATAATTTTGCAAAAACTTGCAAAACCTAGAAACAAGAAAAAGTTAAAATTAATTAAAATTCGTGGTAGGTTATAGTAATGGGCCAAAAATCGAAAATGAAAATTTTTATATATCTTCGCGTTTCAGGGATTTCTGAATATTTTGGCATACCTCGGAAAAAATGGATGTGTGTGTATGTATGTATGGATACAATTTTACGTCCACCTTTTACGTCGCAGAGATCGACTGATTTGTATGGTTTCAAAAAACATTCGATTTGTATTGATAAGGAGATGTGCTGGTTTTTGACAAAGGCAGAACCAGATGTTTCGGAGATACGGAGCAAAAGAGAGCAAAAAATACAAATCGAGTTTTTGAGAGAACGGAGTTTCCGATTTGAATGATACATTCAATTCGTAATGATAGGGAGAAGTGGTAATTGGTTTTTGGCAAAGGCAGGTCCAGTCGTTTTGGAGATACAGAGCTAAATGTGCAAAAAATTGCAGTTTTTGAGAGATTATTTTGGGGAAAAGATTTTTTTTCAATTTTTTTTTTAATTTCCAAAAAAAATTTTTTTAATATCAAAAATAATTCGTTTTTTATATTTTAATTCGGTACGGAAGTTCCAGCAATTTGCCTCAAAGCACGATGCCAAGCACCACTAGATTTTCCTATTTTACAAATTATTGGTTGCTGTAGAGTGCTATAATATATATTAGGATACTTCATTATTACATATGTTACTTTTTACCCGATAATAATATGATTTTTTTAGTAATATTTGATTATTTATTAAACCGTTTTTTCGTAATAAATTGTTGCAAAACATTTTTATTTTGACGGGTACTGAACCAAAAAGAAAACAACATCTAAGTTTATAAATTTTAAGTTTTGCGCATTCAAATGTTTTTCATATTTTACTATTTTTTTCTAAGATTTTTGTTCTAAGTGTTAATTGTTGTATATATAATTATAGATAATTTTATTAGCTTTCTAATAATATATAATAATAATATTTTTAATTAAATTATAACAAAATAAATGTAATTATAAACCAAAGTGCTGAAGCCTAAAACGATGTGCGCGTCTGACGACGATATTAATTGCAAAGTTTAATGAATTATGTTTATAAAAACTTGGTCTAAAAGTTACAAAATGTTATATACAGATTTATAAATAAGTTTATTGACTTTTTAGTCATATATCATAATATATAAAAATGCTAATAAGATTTATTACAATAAAGCCAAAAATTTAAAAAAAATTAACTAATGAAATTCACCAAGGGCTAATAACTAAGATACTAAATTTTAAATTTTACAAGTTTTTCCTGAATTATTTTGTTTGAAAAGTTATTGAACATTATAAACAGTTTTGTAGACAATTTTATTAGCTTTCTAACAATATATAATATACTTATATTTCAAATTATGTATAATAAATTAAACGTGGATATAAAATACAGCAACCGCTGAAACTAATGTTTGGCCATTTGGTTTCAAAGTTTTTAAATAAAATTGTATAAAATTTTCTTAGAAACGTTATAAATTGTTAAACACAGATTAATAGATAATTTTATTAGCTTTGATTTGATATATAATAGTATATATTAATTATATTAATTAACTAAACTACAATGATAAATATAACAAAGTATCTTGTAGTATTTGTTTAGTAATTTCTCAATCAAATGATCCGGTAAAACTCGAAAACGGCTAAACCGATTTGGCCAGTCTAAGTCTTGAAAACTTCGTGCCAATACAGAGATTGTCGGAAAGATGAGATAATATTTCAAAATCGCGTAGTAACTTTACATTTTTAATTTGAAAATTTTTGTAGAAGCGTAATTTGCAATAAACTATGGATGGTGGCTAATACGTGAAATGTCAAACGTTTTTGACAGATGATGTTCAATTAAGTTTAATAGGATGTTTTACGTGAATATTATTTACTTATGTAGTAAGTAGTTTTGTTTGTAGTTTTATTTATATACAAAAACGTTATTAAACGGACCGCAAGTGTTACTAGAAACCCAAAATATCAACTTTTTTGAAATGTTAATATGAAAATGAAAATTTTGGCACATTTTTCTCTAACACGGTGCTCTGTAAGATCTCATTTGAATAATTATATACCCATTGGTATTTATAAAACATTTCCTAGGTTATATTATTTTTATTTACGTTATTTAAATTCAGAACCTAAATGATCAAAGGGACATTTTATCGAAAAACATTTTCCCAGTTATAATCTCCCAGAATTTATCGAAGAATAGATAGTAATATATGAAAGTCCGTGGTTTAAAAGGTCCACCACCGATGTGTCATAAACCAGTAAAGTTAAGCATTGTTTAACAACAAATTTTGTAAAATTCTTTAAAATTAAAATAAGACTTGTTTGCCACCTGGCCATTCCAAGCGACCCCGCCTATGGGGTAAAAAGGTCTAAATACATTTTTGAAAGACATAAAAAAGCACATTTCTACAGTGATAAAGTAGAAGGCAGTTTTACTAAACGTAGTCAGATAATTGTTCGTTTGTAATTTGCTATTTGTTGTAATATAAATTGTTATGGTTTTCACACAATATAGTTTATATTTGCTCAAGGTCAAATTGGACCTTTGTGCCTAGCCCTACGCTACATATATACTTTTCATTAAATTTACTTTAACTCATCGAATGTAACTTGAAACTTTTCAAAAAGCAGGTCAAAAAAGAAATACTTATTCATTTTCTATCTCTCCTCGCAAAAATTTGAAAATTTGTATAAGTTCATTAGTATTATTTACAATTATACAGAAAATCCAGAATCCAAAAAATCTGAAAACTTGAAATGTAATCAATAAGTCAAAAAACCAAAAAAGACGGATTGATTATACCAGGTTTTCTATAGAAAGTGTATAAACTGTGTTTGATTGTGTTGACAAACTAGCTGTAAGTGGAATTCTGTCTTAAGGCATTAGGCATCGTGCCTTAAGGCAATTGCTGGAACTTCCCGTACCAAAATTATATTTTTTTAAAAACCATTATAATTTTTTTTAAAAACAATTAACATTTTTGAAAAAAAATTACTTTGAAAGAATAAGATTTTGAGAAACTATAAATCGGACAAAAAATAACTTTTTTTGAAAAAAAAATTTTTTTTTTAAAAAACATTTTTTTAATTTTTTTTTTTTGAAAAAAAATTTTTTTTCTTTATTTTGACATATTGTAGAAGATCTGAACTTTTTTTCAAAGCAATCGTACTGCTTAACTGCATAGGGACAAAATATAAAGCGCGTAAGCGCCGCGTCGCTGTCTAGCGCATAAGCATTGGTACGGAACCCATAGAAATGTTAACAAATGTATACTTATTGTTAAAATCTCTATAAAATGTCTGATAATTGATGTGCGTATGTCTAATGATCATTTTTGACCGCCAATGGCTCATTTTTTTTCTTTTTTCTCCATATCTCCGAAACCGCTAGACCTACCTTCATGAAAATTTTATCGATTCTTCATCTTGTCAATACAAGTGAAATGTTTTTTGAATTATTCAAATCGGACGACGCCCGTTCTCTTAAAACTGATTACCGTTTTCGGCACTTTTTGCCCCGTATCTTCGGAACGGCTAGACCTGCCTTTGCCAAAAACTAATCAGCACGTCTCCTTATCAATACGAATCGAATGTTTTTTGAATTATTCAAATCGGTTGATCCGTGTTCCCGAAATCGTCGACGAAAATTTGTATCCGCACATACATACCCACACGCACATACATACATACATACATACACACACACACACAACACACCAACACACACACACACCACACATACATCCATTTTTTCTAAGGTATGCCAAAATGTTCAGAAACCTTTGAACGTAAAGATATATAAAAATTTCATTTTCGATTTTTTTGCGATTACTATAACTTGCCCTACGGGAAGTTAAATATAGACAAACTAATTAGATTTATTGTTTTTATAATATACCTCATTGTATATAGCATTGAAACAACACATCCTTATACACATAAAGTATTAATACTTTCGATTCTCTAGAAAATTGTTTAGAATAGCCCTTACTTAGCAAAACAACGTTTGCCGGTCAGCTAGTATATATAATATTATACATTTATACATATATATATATATATATATATATATATAAATGTTCGTAAATGAATTTTTCAAACCTTTGACCGAATGCCAGCAGCAACATCATGCAACATATCATATAAATCCTCAAGTAAACCATCTCTGATTTCTTTGTCCTCCTGGCTTAATCCTTCAACATTATAACTTGTCTCAAAATCTCTCCAATTATACTACCATAACATATTCGAATACTGGAATCTGCAAACAAACAAACGAATGTACAAAACAACAATTATACATATATGTAATTCCTAATTACATCGAAATTCTCAAACCGACTGAATATCTCCCAACAAAGGCACACCATTTCCTTGGGCCTCACCACCGCCAAATCATTCACAAAATTCATCATCTGCTTCAAATCGACGCTGTCACCACTCGATTCTTTCTCAACGAGGACCAGAATTTCTTGGTGAGAATACTAACATGGGAATTGATTTCAAAGTTGTCTTTTATTTGAAGCACGCCTTGTATTAACGTGTTCTGGTAGTTATATCTGTGTTTTTGATGATGTGAACGAATTTTATGACGAAGGTGCTAGCATGATTGTAGCTTTTGAGAAGATTGCCGAGAATCTGAATATCTTTTCACGGATTACTTCTGATTTTGAAAAGTTGTGATCTTTTAAGCTTTCGTAGCAGCAGTTGCTCAGAGCCTAGAGGAGAGGATAAAAGTAATAGTAATAATATATATATATATATATATATATATATATATATATATAGGGCCGGTCCTGGGGTCCTTAGCGCCCGCATGCAACTTTTTTTCTAGCGCCCCCCCCCCCTATTATTATTTTTCACCGTTTTAATAGTTTATCATTAAAATTATATAAATATTTACATATTTTTTAAAAATTAATTTTAATTATTCTGGATTTGGTACACAAAATATTAAATATAATCTAGAAAAGTAAAAATTTATTGATTTTAAATTTATTTATTATTATCGATATTAATAATAAAACAATCCCTATCATAATTTCATATTTTAGTAATTTTCAATATGTAGTAAATTGGTTAAGGATGTAAGTTCGACTACCATAGCAAAAGAATTAATATTTTTGTTAGATTAATGTTATAGAATTTAAGAAATGCATTTCAGAAATAGTATTTATTATTTTGATATCAAGATCTTTATATCAACAAAAATATTAAGTGAAATAAATGGATTTAGTGCACAAAAAATTAGATATATATAAGAGCGTATAAAATATATTGATTTAAATTTATTTAAAAATCCAGGCGATTCGGGGTGTGATTATAATCAAGTATTTGAAATTTTCAATTATTTTTAACGTATTTGCAATATTAATATTTAAAAAAACTTGCATTTAATTTTCAAACACTCGTGTTTCATGTTGGATTTTTTTAAATTTTAATTTAATTTAATTTTTCTCATTTACAATATCCAAAATGCGTCGTAAACTTCTCCTTATGATATCGTAAGAGACGTCATATTCAGAATATCAGCTTGTTGTTTTAAAGTTAAATTTTTAAACGTATTTTAGAAGTATTGTTCAAAAATCAGTAAAAAATGCAAAGAAATTACACATTTCTTGAACAATATTGAAAAAAAATTTTATTATAATTGATATGTATTATTTCTGTATAGTTAATAATTATTAAATTTAGAATATGAACATCACTAGGTATAAAACAGTCTTAAGATTTCGTTCCTAATTAAATTTGTCTTCCATTTTTCATATTTATTCCATCCACGCATGTCTTCAACATTCAAAGTTCAACAGATGCGAAACATTTGCAACAAAAGCGAAAGTTACAATTCAATTTCTGGGAATAAACAAGTCATTTTCTAAGCATTGACTCCACATTTTTTATAATTTGTTTATATTTTTTTTAACAAGTTCCAATTCAACTAAATCAGCTCGCAATTTTTTGTCAACAATGCCCAACAATTAATTTAATCTTTCGCAGGTTTGCGCTTATGGAATTGAACACTAGATAATTTCTTTTTTGATTCCACGGTAAACTTCAAACAAAAACACAATTGAATAAGTAGATTAAGCAATAAACGAGAGCTGTTTTTACTAATTTGGCAGAATTATTAATCGGTTAATTGTTTCTACTGATATCAATTGCAAATAAATATGCTTTTTGTGTCTCCGTATCCCTAGTCAAGTTAAATTATTTATTATAATTAAGTATTCTAGATTTAAATAAATAATTCTAGATTTTATATAAAAAAATATAATATTATATTATAAATTTAATTTCCGAAACTCGTTTTGGCGCCCCCTAAGGCTTCTGCCCGCATTTTTTGCATGCATCGCATGCAAGGCAGGACCAGCCCTGTATATATATATATATATATATATATATATATATGTATATAATTATTCATAAGCAAGCCATAATCAATATAATAGATTATTATTTCAGGCTCTTGTCATCTTATTCATAATTAATATTAAAGGATTTTATATAATCATAGTAGTTGCACAAATTTTGCTTCTGAAAAAAAGCATTTGAACATTAAACAATGTTCATCATCATCAGTTCATCATATTAAAGTCTATTTGACCACGAGTCAAACTTTTACATAAATTTTCCATTTACCTTTTTTATCTAGCTCTGAAATAAACTCCATTTGTTATGTACAAAACGATTTTGGTCTCGTTCAGAACATTGACGTCATTGTACATTTTCTTAGTGAAATACAAATCTAATTTTGTGTTCAACTGAGACCAAACCTTTCGCAAGGTTTCGGAGTAGAAAGTTATGTATTTCCAATCCAGAGCGCCCAAGTGTTTTGTGACATAGTAGTAGACATCTAGAAAGTGCTGTATGTAGTCTTCTAAGTCACTTTCGCCAAAATTTCTTGTCAATTCTGGAAAGAAGAATAATAGATCAGATTATAGATAATTCTGTCTCCATTCTGACAAACTACTATCAAATAACACAACAGTTCTAGAATGGATTGCTATAGCAATTAACGACATTACACTTGTTATTTACTATAACAAAATTATTTCCTCTGACTTTTTCGACTTACCTCTACAATCGTTTGATAGATTCTCAATCCTAAGTTTTCTTCTAACACAGAATTCATTGTCACTTTCCACTAAATCGCTTTTTTTAGCAGGAATAATAAAAACACTCGTCATTTTCAGACTATTGTTAAAAACGCTATGACAGTTAAACGTTTAAAGCCAACAAGACAATGAACAGTAAGAGATGCAATGACTCCGTAGAATTGTCTATGAATGGCGCGCTGTACGTTTGACAGTGTTGCCAGATGAGATTGTTTTTGCCGTTAAAATGACCGGTATATTTGAAATTGAATTTTACATGCAACAGTATTCTTAAATAATTTTAGCAAGATAAAACTGGTTGCAAGTAGCTTTTTGTCTTAAGATAAGTTGCACAAACTTTCCGATACGTGTTCATAACCGACTCCAACAAGGACTTTAGTTACTAATTCTTAGTTACAAAACTTTGAAATCTGACATAAATTTTATGTAGTGATATATTCTAAAATGCTAGCCATAAATAATTGAAACTCAATGCTACTCTTAATAATATTGTTAGTTTGCCTTGAGGTAAACAGTTGTCTAAATAGTTGAAATTAAATACTTATTAATTATGTACATAGATAAAAGAAGAGTATATATGAAGAGATTATGTATACAGTAAACCCTCGCTTTACGCGGCAAGTGCGTACCGTGCAGTATGGGAACCGTGCTATAAGAAACTCGTATTTAACATACAATTCAGGCTAATTCGTAGTGCGTTCTATGGAACCTTACATAGTGCAGTATGGGATCCGTGCTATGAGAGATTCACAGTTGGTACAAATCGCACCATTTTTATCGCGCTGTATGGAGACCAAGAAATTCCACTTGAAGTAGGACGAAATGACATGTAGGGCATTGACACGATTGACACCTTATTCAAAAATTGGCGCGACGCAGTAGTCAGCTCAAACGTGTTCTTAGGTGGCTATTATATAAACAGGCATGTCTAAAAGATAAAAGTCAATAACAAAATTTACATCAATACCCTTTTGCACAACGAACTTATGGGCTGTTGACCAAATACCGTGTAATAAGAAGTCCGTGTAGTCGGAGGGATGTCGGATTTTTAGCTCCGTGTAGTATGGGAACCGTGTATCCAGAGTGCCGTGTAAAGCGAGGGCCTACTGTACATAGTGTGAAGTTCATGCAACTTGACTCATGGTAAAATTCGATGTAAAACTAGTTTATATATATATATATATATATATATATATATATATATATATATATATATATATATAGAATAGAATAGAATAGAATAGAACTTTATTAAAATTCAATAGTTACAATTTAAGTCATTTACAATACATAATTATTCTAAAAATTCATTTATAAAATAATAGGGATTATTTAGTAAATAATTTTTAACAATATTTTTAAAGGTGAATCTTGTTTTGCATCTCCATCCATCAGGTAGCTTATTATAGATCTTGGCTCCCAATGTAGTTCTTAGCGATGATTTAAGTTTGATTTTTGGACATATCACTGCATTTTTATTCCGCGTATTGTGGTCGTGGACATCACTTCTCAATAAATGATTAGTTTTATCCGCATGCACCGCAATAGCTTGTTGCCAAATATAAATGTTTGTGACAGTCAAAATTTTGTGTTTTATGAATAGCGGCCTGCAAGGCTCCCGAGGTGAGACTCCTTCTATTGCTCTAACCGCCTTCTTTTGTAGATCCATAACTTTAGAAGTGTGTGCACTATGTCCCCAAGCTAATATTCCGTATGAAAGTACAGAATGGAACATAGCAAAGTAGGTTTCCCTGGCACATTCCTGGTTTATTATGGATCTAATTCTTCTAATGGCATAAATGGCTTTCGAGAGCCTTGCGCATAGCAACTCTATATGTTTGGCCCAGGTCAGCAAACTATCCATTGTTAGTCCCAAGTATTTGACTTCACCGCCTTGAAGTTCAACATGTCTTCTACTAGCTGTAAAATTAATAGAAACAGTTTTGTTTTTATTCAGAACAATTTTATTTGCGAGGAACCACTCTTCAGCTTGTTTATAAGCATTTTGCCTCTTTTCATTCATAACTTTTATGTCTTTGCTTGCAACTGCCAGAGCCGTATCGTCTGCGAACTGAGTCGAATGGCAATTCAAGTTGGAGGGCAGGTCATTCACAAATATTAGGAATAGTAGCGGACCTAAAATACTGCCTTGGACAATTCCAATATCTGGTACTACTTCTGCATTACTGAGCTTATATTGCCAGTCGACGAATTGTTGACGATTCGTGAAGTAGGATTGCATCAGCGTTAACGGAACACCTCTCAGTCCATAATATTCAAGTTTTTTTAGAAGTATTTTGTGTGGTACGCAATCGAATGCCTTACTAAGGTCACAGAACAGCGCACCGCAATGTTCATGATTCTCTAAAGAATCTTGTATGAAATTTAGAAAATTTACTATGGCGTCGATCGTATTCAACCCCTTTCTAAACCCAAATTGACTGTTGTTTGAATAGTTATTGGCTTCAAAGAAATTTAGTATTCTTGAGGCCAACAACATTTCAATCAGTTTAGAAAATACAGGCAGTATGGCGATTGGCCGATAATTGGATGCATCTTGGCGGTCTCCGGATTTATACACTGGAATGATTCTCGCCAGTTTCATTTTATCTGGAAACTGTTCTGTAGCGAATACACTGTTTACGATTGCACAGAGCGGTGAAGCTATATACTCGGCTACTGGTTTGATCATTTTAGCGTTTAGTCCAAAAGCGTCAAGTGATGTCTTGTTTTTCATCTTTTTAATCGCTGTAACAATTTCTTCTGGAGATGTTGGTCTCAGGAACATACTTCGCCCACTGACATATATCTTAGATAAATAAGCTTCGGGTCTAGTCTTTGCGTCGAGCAAGTCCTTGGTTAGATTGACAGCTACATTCCTGAAAAAATGATTAAATTCGTTTGCTGATGGCGTACCAATTCCGATATTATTTGAATATTTTTGACCTGTTTCTTGTTTTATTATATTCCATATAGTTTGTTGTTTATTATCTGATTTAACTATATTCATTACATTACTTTGTTGACGTTCCATTTCCATCTTATGGTTATATAATCTTTTATAATGTTCAAAGTATTGTTTCAGATCAATTCGCTGTGACTGTTTAAAAGCATCATATAGAAAATCCACAAGTTCTTTGAGATTTCGTAGATTTTCTGACTGCGCCGAAATTTTGTTTTTGTTTATCAATATGCGTTTGTAAGGAAACGCGTTGTTTGCTATTTGTTTAAAAATATTTAGAAAAATATTAAATTGTTTGTTGCTATCTTCAGTCTGGTCCAGGCAATTCCAATTAACTAGAGATAGTTGTTTTTTGAATATATATATATATATATATATATATATATATATATAAGTTATATACTAAATGACTCGTAGGGTAAGTTATTGTAATCGTCCAAAAATCGAAATTGAAATTTTTTGCATTTCTCGACGTTTTGAAGGTTTCTGAACATTTAGGCATACCTCAGAAAAAATGGATGTGTGCGTATGTGTGTGTGTGTGTGTGTTTTGTGTATCCGCATTTTTTCGTTCACCTTTTCGGGCGCACGGATCAACCGATTTGAATGGTTCAAAAATCATTCGATTCCTATTGATAGGGAGATGTGCAGATTAGTTTTTGGCAGAGGCAGATCCAGTAGTTACGGAGATAAAGAGCAAAGATGGCAGAAAATGGAAATCGAGTTTTTGAGAGAACGGAGCATCCAATTTGAATGATCTAAAAATCATTCAATTAGTAATGCTTGGGAAAAGTAGTTATTAGTTTTTGGCAAAAGCAGACCCAGCCATTTCAAAGATACAGAGCTAAATGTAGAAAAATGGCAGTTTTTGAGAGAACTAAGCATCCGATTTAAATGATTCGAAGAACTTTCTGCTTGTTTTAATAAAATAATTGATTTTTCAAAAAAAAAATTTTGTATATCGAAAATAATTCAGATTTTTAATTTTGACTAAAATTCAAATATACTTTACACAAATAATTTCAACTTTGCAATTCAGTTTATATATTTTTTATAAATATTAGACAATGTTACAATATAATATATATTTGAAAACATTTAATATTCCTCGAACATTTCGTTACTCTACGGAAAGTTCCAGCAATTTGCCTTAAGGCACGATGCCATACACCCCACTACTTTGTACAGTAGCAAATAAGTTTTACTCCAATCGCGTGTGATCCTTACGCGCACTCTTTTTTTAATTTACGGAATCTACGAAACCTATAAATTGCTCATAATTGGCTGTTACAGTATCGGAACCATAAACGCCATTCACAATTTTAGCACCCTGGTTTGCATTTACAAAAACTGTAAAATGTACTGATTTTTGTCTTCGTACACTTCCATTTTTAACCCCCTGTAACTCATAACTGAATGCACCAAACAAAAAACAGCAAAAGAATTTCTTACTGCAGAATGCCACCTTTCCAACGAGCATAAATCTGAAACTAGTTGCTCAATAATTTATGAGAAATCTATTAGTACAACCATCTCTCAAAAAAAAAAAAATAGATTTCTTTTTCCCCAAACTAATATATCTAAAAATGACTTTAAATACAAATTATCTACTTTGCTTTTACAAACGAGATCTTTAAATTTCTTTTTTTGAAGTAAAACCTCTTTAGGCGCAACTAGGGTGTAAATCTGTGAAAATGCAACGAAAGAGCGTTACGCTCGAGTCGAGTGCCAATGATTCGTCATTCGTTCCCGACGAGATCATTTCTATACTGGTCGATTGTGATTGGTCGTCGTGCCGCGTGAGTATGATTCCTTTGATTACAAGATAAGTGAAACAAATAAATACAAATAAATGAATATAAATTATCTATTTTGCATTCACAAATGAGATCTTATAAATACTTTTTTTGAAGTAAAACTTCTTCAGGCGCGACTAGGGTGTAAATCTGTGAAAAGATAAGTGAAACAAATAAATACAAATAAATGAATATAAATTATCTATTTTGCATTCACAAATGAGATCTTATAAATACTTTTTTTGAAGTAAAACTTCTTCAGGCGCGACTAGGGTGTAAATCTGTGAAAAGATAAGTGAAACAAATAAATACAAATAAATGAATATAAAATATCTATTTTGCATTCACAAATGAGATCTTATAAATACTTTTTTTGAAGTAAA